TGTGCAGAATTTTTTTTTTTTACATATATTTATTCATTACTACTTTTGTCACTACAATAATAAGTTCTGCCCTGAAAACCTGACTATGAGGTTTTCAGGAGGGGGGCTGCTGGCCATGTTCAGTCAGGTTACAGTGATAGTGAAGCAGTGGGATTGTAGGATGTTTAACTGAAGCAGAGCAGCAATCCAGAAATTAATTAAATTAATGTGGCAACTTTTCCTATCTTAATACATATATACAAATTTAATAAACCTTGGTTATCAGTTATGACAGCAGCATTAATATCAGATATTGATATCATCACAAATTTTCATGTAATTTCATCCCTAATTATAATCTTTGCCATTTTTATGTCATTAAATGTTGAAAAGGAGGAGCCAGTTGCAAAAGTAGGCTGGTGATCAAAAGGATTTCACTCATAAAAGTGAAATTGTTTTCACTTTTATGAGTGAAAATGATTGAATTTTCACTCAAATCTAGTGGAAAAATCCAGTGGAAATTCAAAGTACGAAATCATAAGAGGAGCAAAAGGAAACAGGCTTGTGGGGATAAGAAAGGGAGCTGACCAAGAGCTGGCAGACTGCTGGACAGACTGACAGACCGACAGACCACTGGCAGCGCTGAAGAAGTTTGTTCTTTCTTAGCCAAGGTGATGATGTTGTGGCTTTAAAAGAGCTTCTGACTTACAGCTCACTTAATGAGAAAGAAGGCATTACTCCCAAAAGCAATAAGAACATCTGTTCCACGGAGTAATATCGTCCTCAGCAGCACAGACAGAAACCACAGCTGAAGTGTGCGGCCCTAATGACCTTCACTTCATTTGGACAGAAAAGGAAGAAGTTTGCAACCATGAAATACCATCCCAATTATGAAGTACAATGGTGGCAACATCATGCTGTGGGGATGTTTTGCTGCAAGAATTATGTTAAATAACATAAATTTTGTTACACATATAAACAGTGTAGTACACTTACGTTTATATGTAAGTGTACTACATATAAAATCAACACCATTGTTCACGGCCCCTTTTTATGTTCACTGACTGGCCAGAATCCTGAAAAGCAGATGAGCAGATGACACAAATCAGGTGTTTTGTGTCACCTGATTGTCAGCTTTGTAATAAAAAGCAAGTATAAATAAATCATTTTCTTCTCTGGAAGTCAAAGGAAAAGAAAACAGAAAATAAAGCCTTGTGCAGACAGTTCATTAGCTGCTGTAAACAAAATTCACTTCAGTCCTGATTCAGTGGAACCAAGAGTTTCTGCACATTTTAAGTTTACAGACAGTTTGTTCCAGAGCAGAGGAGCATAGAAACTTAAATGCTGCCTTGTCTCTTTGATGATCTGACATGTCCACAAGGTTCATACCTCACACACAACTAAGAAATCTATTCCATCCCAAAATGATTTAATGCTTCTAAAACCAGTAACAGAATTTCACATTCTGTTAAGCTGCATTTTTTGTTGTTGTTTTTTTTTTTTACAGAGATCAGTTAAGACATTGTTGCACTAATCTAACCTACTGAAAATAGACATTTACAAGAAAGCTAAATTTAATAGGTCCAAACCTGTAGTGAATCCAGAATTTTGTAGTAGTTCTTCACTTTTTCCACATTTTGCAGCTTTATTCAATATTCTATTAAATTAATCTGTCCTCAAAACATTCTATACACAAGTACCACATTATTAGAATGTGGTACTTTATTTTTGTGGTACATTTATGTAAGTATTCACACCCTTTACCAATAAAGCTCAAAACTGAACTGTTTCCTCTGATCATCCTTGAGATGTTTCTACAGGTAAAATGGAGTCACCTGTGGTAAACTCAGTTGACTGGATTGATTTGGAAAAGAAGACATCCGTCTATGGAAAGACCCACAGTTTAGCGTGCAGGTCAAAGGTCAAACACCAAGCATGAAATCAAAGTAATTTTCTGTAGACCTCATACCCCTTTATTGTCTTGATGCAGAAATCCAGAAAAGGATCCAAAAACATTTCTGTTGCTTGGAGATCTAAGCTCCAGACCAACAATGGACTTTCTCCATCGTTGGTCTGTGGAGGAAGTCTATATAAATATTGAAACATAAAATGTGGATAAAATGAAGCGCACCGAATACTTTCCAGATCTGTATGAGATCAGACATTACAGGTTTTTTTTCTGTTTATTCTGTTATCAGCATTTTATTATGATTGATTTTTATCTGTCTGATAAACTGGGAAAAATATCCAACACATTAAAAAGTTAATTACAGTGGTTGGCATAAATCTAAAATACATTAGATGGAGAAATATTTGCTCATTTTTATACTATTAATGGATGACTAACAGTAATTCCATGCCCAACATATTGTAGTTCAAATTATAAATTTCAGACATCATTGCAACATTAAAAATTTCTTAACAGGGAAAATAATTTTGTGAGAACATTTGGAAGTGCAGCATGGTCATATTTATTTCCTTGTGTGGTTTTCTTAACATCTAATGTTTTAATGCCTGATTAATCTCCTTCCTCAAAGTCCTCCCCTACAGGAAACAGGAAGGCATGAAGTTTTATCTCCTGTCTTCAGAGTCCCACACTGAATTCCAAAAACCAAATTGCTGGAATAATCAAAGAAGGTACTCGTTGCTGTCAAAGTTTAGAAGGTCTCCAGATTTTTTTGTCTTTATTTGTACTGTCTCTATGGAGGAGAAACAACTAAAACATATTTGTGTTTACACATTAAGTTAGGGGATTATTCAAAAGCCTTTATGAATCTTATCCCAACACTTTGTAGATGAACATAGTCTAGTTAACATTTCTTTCTTTTTGTATTAGATACTTGATGATGAGTATGTTTAAGTTAAAACTGGAACTATTCAGAGGAATACTGTCTCCTCTCTGGATTATTATTCTTCTCACCAGCAGCTCCAAACATATCTGCACTGCATATACCATATACTGCATAATGCATTACAGTCTCTGAAGGCAGCAGCACACTGCAAACTCCTTTCAGATTTCTAAACACTCATTAATATTACACAATGATCAATGTGAAAAAGTTATGTTTTATTCTGTTTTTGATGTGATTAAATTTGTGTATTTTAGAGGCTTCAGGATTTGTTTCCTCCTCTTTTGTCTCTTAAAGTTTTCCTCAATATAATGTTTCTGAATTGCTCTCAATCATCCATTGGCAGGAATTAAACAACATGCTTTAGTTAAACGGTACGACCAGGTTCTTTGTTTGCTGGAAAATGTTTTAAATTTGTTGTAAATATTATAAAAACACTGTATGTGCATCGAACAACAACAAACTATTGCAGTTATTCACAAGATTCCTTCAGTATGTGAGACTTGTATTCCATTTCCACTCATACATTTGTAAGCAGAAACATAAAGAAATCAGAGACAACATGGAGCTCCATGTCTCACCCCAGAACATGTGAATATCTTGAATTTGAAAGTTGAGGTTACACCATTGGTCTTCAACTTCTGAGATCACTTTTCGACAATGTTGCTGTCCTAACCTGGTAAAAAGCAGCTCCTTGTTCCACACTTTGCTTCTGGACACTTACTTAATGAGAAACCATTGGCTTCTGGAGGAGTGGACTTTGTTGAAGTTTTGAATGACTCGATCTGATTTTAACCAATCTCTAACATGTGGCTGTGACTTATCTAATGCACCAGTTTGATCGTGAGGGAAGTTACGGCATGCTATTGCTGAAACAGGCACAGTAAAATTATGAAACAGCAGAAAATCAACACCATTGTTCACGGCCCCTTTTTATGTTCACTGACTGGCCAGAATCCTGAAAAACCAAACTCAGTGGGACAAATCCCAAATGCTGCATGAGATAAAACTCGTTTCACCTGGATTTTGACTCAACACATACAAACACATCCAAATACATTTCAACGGGAGAAGAAAACTCTGTGCATAAACATGTCATACACATAAACAGTGGCTTGTGCACACTGTCGCTGTCCTCATACACAGTCTCTTGGGCTAGAAGAGCACGCATGCTCGCCACACTTTCAAATTTTTGCTTTGAAAAACAATTTTAAAAACAATATCTCATTTTTGTTCCACTTTGCTGATCTATTCTAATTTATCTTGGTTTACTACAAAAATCTATAAAATACATTGAAGACTTCAGTTGTAACGCAACATGGGTCAAAGTTTACAGCATACAAATACTTGTGTAAAATCAAAACATGGTGCATCACAGTGCGTGTTACATGTTGCTCAGCTTCCACACAGAACATGATGAGAGTTATCAGTTTTACAGCATTCAGGGATTTGAGAAAACAAAAGATTTTCCAATTACCAGCCAGATGAACAGATCAACAAAAAAAATCAGTTGCATCCTTTGGTTTATTGACTGAAGCACTTGCATATTTCTTTACTGTACAGAAAACAAATGAAAACTATTATAACTATTGCCAATAAAAGTTAACTGATTAATCAACTAATTTGTTTATTTGATTATTTATCAAATGGCCAAATGCAAGAATGTTAGTGAATAAACTGTTTCCAGTAAATTTATTTTATCAGAAAATTATTTTAAATTTGACATCAAATTATTTTCCAACAACATATAATTTTGCGATCATTTATTTACAATTTCCTGTATATTAAATGTTTTCCTTTTTTTTAAACATTAAATTTCCGGAACTCTTCTCCGTAAAGGAGATAAACAGGAGAAAGAAAGAAAGAAAAGAAAGAAAGAAAGAAAGAAAGAAAGAAAGAAAGAAAGAAAGAAAGAAAGAAAGAAAGAAAGAAAGAAAGAAAGAAAGAAAGAAAGAAGAAAGAAAGAAAGAAAGAAAGAAAGAAAGAAAGAAAGAAAAAAAAAAAGAAAGAAAGAAAGAAAGAAAGAAAGAAAGAGAAAATGCTTAATCCCGCACAGAATCGCTGTGGTTGTTTGGTATGAATTCCAAAAACATGGTTTAATATTTTGGAAGTCGCTCTGTTTTTCAAAAGAAAAAGAAGAAAATATCTTTCTTCTTCCCCCATGCGCTTCTTCTCGCCGCCTTCCTCTGCGCTGCAGAGCTGCAGTGATGTCAGCCTGCCTGGGTCATTTGAAGGTCAGCAGCCTCGGAAGGGTTCACCCAAAGTTCACTCGCATACATTAGGCAATTCAATCTTTCATTCTCGGTGGCAAAACTAGTTGGAAATGAGCAGCAGTGGTGGGACGGATAACCCATTCGTCATCGCGGAGGGGAACGGCTGCTTTTTAAACATCGCCCGTGATTATTTTCTGCCCTTAGAATAATAAAGAAGCTCCGCTCCGAGCGGGCGACAGCGCGAGCGCTTCAGCCGAGAGCCGGGACGGAGCGATCCGCTGCGAACACGGCGGAGCGGCGCTGGCTATGGAGGAACCCCGTCCGGAGGTCCGCTGCAGCGCGCTGACTGCTCCCGGTGCCAAAGACCCGAGGAGGGGCATCTAAGACAAGCTGCGGGACCAAAGTAATTCATGTTTCCGGTGCGGGACGGAGGAGAAAAAGAGGAGAGAAATCCGCTGCGCCGAGAAGAAGAAGAGAGGGGGAGAAAAAAGAGAAGGAGGGGTGAAGAAAAGGAGTTTGATGGAGTTGTGTGCGCCTATGCCGTCGATTTTCCTGCAGAACGCACACGAGTGAGTGAACAAAGTGGTCATGTTTGACTGCATGGACATGCTGGCCGTGAGTCCCGGGCAGATGCTGGACTTCTACACGTCCAGCCCGTCGTCCTGCATGCTGCAGGAGAAAGCTCTGAAAGCCTGCATCAGCGGACTGGCGCAAAGAGAGTGGCAGCACCGGCGGAGCGCACACTGTAGGTCCAACTTCTCATCCTCTCTTCCTGTTGCTGCTGTTGTTGCTTCTGTGACTTAAAGTGAGGGTGAGCTCTTAATGCTGGTATACCAGTGAACCCTGACTGTGTCATCCAGATGACCAACACGTTGCTGTTCAGGGCCTGCTGGTGGAATGCTAAAAAAATCAAGTTGCTCTTCCCCTAAAGAAGAAGAAAAAAGAAAAAAAAACTCAGTTTATAACCAAACTCACTAAGAGTCATAAGAGCAACATTAACTTACTTGTCAGGGGGGAAGTTTAGCATGTTGCAGAGAGGAACTCTGAGTCATTTTTCAAGCCTCCATAAATCCCCGGCAGCGGAAGCAGCTCCCTCCCAGCCGCTGATGGATGTCTGGTCTCGGATGAGTTGATCTCTGAGAGCTCCATGCTCGCTGCAGGAATGCAGAGAGTAAACACGTCCAGAGGCCGGGCCTGCGCGCATGGCAGGAGGTGGGGGCGAGCCGCGACCTGCGCCCCCTGACACTGATTTAGATAAATGATGCCGCGGACTCCTCAACAAGATTAGTGGCTTGCTATTGGAACAGGAACTGGACAAGGATGATCGATGGGCGGCTGTTTGTTGCTTGGATGCGTCAAGGCCTGTGACATTTAGAGGAAAACCGGTATTTTTATATTAAAACGCTTCTGAAACATTTCTATTCAGTTAGATTTGAAATAAAAAACTGATAGAAGCGATGCAGTTATTTTAGGAGAAAACGTGTCCCAGCGTCATGCTGACGATATTATTGCACTTCAGAACCATTTTGCGATGTTTACTCTGGGCTGACAGCTGCTTCTGGTTTGGGATTTATCCCCATCTGATGATGACTGGGCTCTGGCCGTCATTCCTCCACCAGCCTCCACCCAGGGGGCTCTGTCGCGGAGGGGCTGCTCATATGATCTGGGAAAGTGCAAACGTTCCTGCTGCGACCTTTAACCCGCAGCGGTTAAAGGTCAGGCTCAGAGGGTGACCGGGAGCCCCTTGGAAATAGGTGTGACTGTGTCCTCTGGTAACGTTGTCTTTGGTTTAGATATGATTTTATTTTAACAATAAAATAAAATAATAAAAAACCCACCAATAATAAGAAAAACCATGCTGACATAAAATACAAAAATAATTGTGGACAGGAGGAAAAGGAAAAAAACAAACAAACAAACAAAAAAGGGTATATTTACCTTAGAAGAAAATAATTTTTTGGGACCTTTAAAAATAATCTGATCTCCACGCAGACTGCTCTGTGGTTTTTCTTTCTCTCCATCTTATATCCGTTTGAGCTCTTGGTTCAGGTTGGAGTCTCCTGTCGTGTTTGGAAATTATTTCATGCATGCTTTTTGGTTTTAATGTTTTTTATGTATTTATTTATTTATTTATTTATTCACGTGGCTTGCCAAATTTCACATTGAACCAAATATACACATTTGGAAGTGTTAAACGTATTCATATATTTTAAAATCTGCATTATGGTTGAAGTGTTTTGTGTGTGTATTACCCTCAGTAATTCAGTGATTAGTGAGGAACTCAATGTTTGGATGGAAAGAATGACCTTTACTCACAAATTTACTATTTTCAGAGATTTTAGTTTTCTGTTTGTGGTTTTTAGATAATTCAGTTTGGTCACATTTTCTTTTTTATTTCCTGCATAGATTGTTAGAGAGCGCGAGAGAGGCCATTCTCCTAGCAGAGGAGGATTACATTTTGACATTACACCTTATCTAAATTTTTTTGAGATTTAAATAATTTTTCCACAGATCTTGTAATCATTTATTAATTTAGCAATTTATACTTCAAAGGTATGTATTAATTATTGTTTTCTTACTGTTCTTTATGAAAATGTTTTTAGAGTTCACGTCTTGCAGATGCATTATATGTAGATTTTTTTTGGGATGTAATTATCATATTATTTCCTCCTAATCTAACAGAACCATAAATTTCACAAATTTTCTGACATAGTGAAAATACGTAGCAGTGGCTGGAGGCCGTTCAGAATTTCGTACACACTGAGATAAATTTCCAAAATAAATCTATTAGTTTGTCTTTTAGTTTCTAAAATAAATATGTTGACATTTATTATTTTATGGCTTTTATTTTTAAACACTAATTATAAAAATGAAACAATTATTTTCAAAAAGTGACAAAATAAAATTCTGGTATTTTTGGAAAGATTTCTCGAACACACCATATGTCTTAAAAAAGTGTCTCTCAAAAAGATTCATGTTTGTTGTTTTATTTCTTTCTTCACAAGGCATTTCTGTTTTCAAGAAAACAGTTCAGAAAAAAATGTTCGTGGAAAAAATAATTGTAAAATTGTTGTGAAAGATAAATTAATGACAGGAGTAAAGCTGTTACTTTGAACACTGACTGACATGTCAGCATTTGACAGAGCAATATTTATTTTCCAGTGCAGCAAGGGTTACTCATTGTGGAGAAATACATTTGAACAATAATAAATAACATTGCAACTAAAAATATTAATTGTGGCATCATTCCCTTTATCTTTGAATGCTACCAGTTTGCAAAAAATCGAACAAACATTCTTTCCATTTCATTTCTCCTACAATTTTATTGGATCACAAAGTAAACCCTTTGTTGCTATGCAGACCAGTTAACATAATATTCAGTTATAGTTCTGTAGTGACTATATATTAGTTCAATCCTTCATTCCTAATCCTGGCCAGCACACTTATCAGCTTATCTGTTTAAGTAGTGACTCGTCTTTTATAACGTCTTTTAGGACTCAGGAAGAACTGAATAGGACAGAAGAAGATGCCGCTGCTCCATTTCTAAAATGACAAAAGCTCATTTGGTCCCAGTAAGCCCTGCTTTGACCCACTGACCTGTCCGACTGGAGAACGTTAAACTCCTTCTTGTTTTGTTGGAGTACGCTCTGTTTTTCTCCAGGACTCAGATTGAGAAGCCTCTCAGGGTCACAGGATTGTTGGTTTCTTTGTTTATTTATTAGGAATAATAGAATACTCCTGGGTGTTAATTAGCAGTCTGACAACAAGCCCACCATTAATGCATTTCCTCATCCAGTTTGGATGTTAATTAAGAATGATCAAGGACCTCCTTAACGTAGATAAAATTGACTTTTCAGAAGAATGGCTGTGTCTGATGCTCACACCGTATGAAGGAGCATGAACGTGATTTAATTGCATCAAAATACATCTAAAGATAACGCTAAATGAATCAGAGCAGCACTGTCTGTGATGCTGCATGGGGCTGAGTATAGTACAAGTGATATGTGTGATGGGATAATTGGAGTTTTTTTTATATCTTCGAGGCTTAAGCGTCTCTGATGTGGACATGAGAGACCGTTAGCACAGCTTGCACACCGCGCTAATTTAGTGGGTGTGTGAAATGAAAGGCGGACGGGGAGAAATAAAAGTTGTGTTCTGCCGTGAAATGAAACAAGAGCTGTCTGGTGCTGGCCGTGTTTAATCAACATGATTAGGATGGCTTTGGGGTCCCACCAGGGTTATTTACTGATACTGTGTATTGCATCTAGATTCCAGCCTTTTATTGTATATCAAACACCAACACGCTTTAGATAAATGCATATCTTCAAAGTTCAGAACAATCACAGAGATTCATCTATGAGCTTCTTGCTGCCTTTCATGTCACAGAAAGCTTAAATAATAGCCTAGTGTAACCTTCTCCTTTACTTTAACAGGGCTGCCTTGATGGGAACAGTTCCTGCTTTCAAAAGGCAAGTTTTGATATGGATTCAAGCCCAGGGCGTCCTTACATTGATAGTGTCACAAACACGCACAAAAAACCCCACCTATCAATTAAGCGCCAAACAACATCTGTATCACTTGTTTTCACGCCTAGTTCCTGCTGGAAACTTTATAGAGTGTTTTTCTGGAATACTCATAAACCTGTTCATTTTTGCTACTTGAATGATTTGATTGGACACTGGAAAAGACTATTATTGTGTTCAAATTGAGCTAAAAGGAATTAATCTATCAGTGAAGCTAATCAAACCTAAAACTGCATCTGAAAGCTAAACATGTAGCAACTAACGCTAATGTCAGCGTGTACAGTCCACATTTCTAAAGACGTTCCATGAATGATTAGTATTTTGTGAAATTCTGGAAAGATGAATGGATAGAATAACATTGATCCAGTCTCATGGTTGAAGAACCCAAAGAACAGTCCAAAACAATAAATATATTTGTTGTTGAGATCTATCTATTTCTTCTATGATTTGGCAGCAAGGTTTTTTGAACTGTCTTTGTATAGTTTTTGATTAAAATGTGATTAATTAATTACAGACCTGGCTATGAACTCAATTAAAAATTTTAAATCTCTAAAAAAATCTTCATCTTCTATGCAGTTTTAATATTAATTAACCATATTTTATTACATGAAAATTATTTTTTCATTTAAATGGATTTTAGTGGATGACTGAATCAAACAATAGACAAGGCATGAATATCGTAAAGCAGAGCTCTAATAATCTTTGAAAGGAAGATGCATTTAATTGCTTTTAAGTTCAAAACAGTAGGACAAAAATACCTTGCCAAAACTGAACAGACCTATATATATATATATATATATATATATATATATATATATTGGACACTATATATATATATATATATATATATATATATATATATATATATATATATATATATATATATATATATATATATATATAAAGTACAATCTCTACTTCTTTACTTTTCTGAAATTTGACCAGATATATAGTGATTTGACAGAAGACTGAAGAGTCCCTGCAATCAAGAGAGTGGAGAAGTAAAGCAGGCAAAACCAGAATTATCAGTGTATATTTTTAAGCCACATACATTGTCAAGTCAAATGCTATCATAATTAAGAAAAGTAAATAAAAATGATCCCTCACTGACACAACTGAGAACCAAAATATGGAATTAAATTTTCTCCCAGATACTTTTCTGCTGAACCTGGAGCGCCTAGCTCAGAGAGAAAAGATGTTCTTTCAGCTGACATTCCTTTAA